TTAGTCTCGAGTTTAATACCAATTATGTAGTATTCTTACATGTTTCCATTTTATTAACATAGTACACAACATAAATAATTGGTGTATTAGTTACATTACACATATCAGATATTCTTACTAGTATCAATGTATCTTTGCGATTCCTAAGTAGAAGCAAGATACTCGCACCATCTATAATTCTTTCGATAAGAACTTAGTCACGCGACTAATTACGACCATATTAAGTTTGGATTTAGTACATGGAATTCCATCTCTAATTACAAACCTTCCGATTGAAATTTAGTAGGTGTAGCTTGCACACTACTAATTTCGACCCCACACAGTTGTATTTAGTGCATGACCCACTATTACTACTTACGACCCATCCCAATTGGAATTTTATGTGTCTAACTAATTACGACTCCCCATGCTTGAATTAGTACCCGAGTTAGTTATGGTTCATAAAGCACACACACACACACACACACACACACCAAACATTGTATTATTCACCCAAATCCCATATCACAAAGACTTACTAGACAATTCCCCTTAAGGTTAGGTCTTTTGGGTTTGCCAGCCATCCTAATGTTGGGAATATCATCCCTTAATGATTGATTTCACAAATTTACCCTCCTACCTACTTTTTGAGACATAGTTCATCTAGTTGAGGTATTAGAACATTTCCCTCAAGAGTTGGTCTTATAGATCTACAAACCAACTTACTGTTGGGACTTACAGTGTCATTTCATCGGGATTAGTGCTACTTGTATTTCATCTGACCACACATCCTGATACAAAGTACTAATATTAAACACGAGCATTATATTATTCCATGAATACACATTATCAACATCATACATGTAGCATACAAATTTAATTCCTCCCCAGAGGGTTAACTATTAGTATTAATCCAATGCAACATGTCACAACACATTTCATATAACACACACATGATATTTTATCGACATTGGTTAATAATTAATTGAAATATCATCATGTTTTTCTATACCATCTAATAGGGAATTGAAATAACTTTCCAACGCATCCAACCACGTCACATTTTGAGTTACGAGACTCAAGATACACTATTTTCAATGATGCTAGGATTTTCAGGATAGCAAGTGTCGCTTAGTGAGAATATTTGTTGCTAAGCGATATTAACACGACAAAACCACCTAAATCTCACTTTTAAACCCATATTCTTCAATCATTAACCATCCAAACCCTACCTAATCATGCCATAACATATTCAAGCATTTCATGTCATGAAATTAACATTATTCCAATATATTCGACCTCATGTCAATCGGGACTGTAATACAGTGGGAGGATTGATTTGTTTAGTGTTTTATCGCAAATGTTGCAGATAGAAAGAGTCGCCACCGACTTTTCTTTTATCCAATGAGGAAAGGTGAAAAGAACATGAAAGACCTTTGATAGATTTTGAGTTCGGGGGGTAAGTTATGAAAAGGAAAGGTGTTAGCACCCTTTTCATCTATAGTTATCTACGGGCTCTTAATTTCTTAGCTCACTTTAAACTTGCTTTGTATGTGTGTGATTTGAAAATATTTTGAATTCCAATTCTGAAGCAGACTTTGTAATAATTTTTGTAGTCCTCAAGAATGTATACAAAGTGTTTTTTTGAAAATATTTGTTTTGAAATGTGAGGTGTAAAAATGAATTTGTTTGTTTAAAACTGTTATGAGCAAGCAATTTGTTAAGTCTTACCCACTAAAAGTCGTTCTTGTTATTTTCCTTCTTTGTTAGAGATAGTAATATCCATACCATTAGTTGGTAGGTAGCCCTATCTATTAGATATGAAGGGACATGTGCAGGGTCATCGTATGGTCATGGAAGGCAACATGTAAAAATACTTTTAGCAATTCGAAGGGACTATCATCATTTTTCTCATAGGGTTATTGAAGGGACTAGATCATTTTGTAGGCAACTCGAAGGGTCATCGAGGGATTATGATCTCTATTCAAAAGGGACCATGGTGATATTGTTTAACCAAGGGTCTTTACTAAAGTATTCCCGTTTTCGTGGGACGTGATCATTAGTATCGCAAGGCAACAAAGAGAGGTTACCCTAGAGGTAAAGTGTGCAAAGTGTATTGGTTTCAGTTATGTTATCTTGAAAATTAAAGTTATATATGTTTGATTTTATTCTTATCATACAAGCCTATTTACTAGCAGTTATATATGTATAAACATATAAAGGCAAAAGATAAAGCGAGAATGTAAATCTACGTTATTACAGGGCTTTGGGAGAGTTACATAATTAGAAAAATATGGGGATGTAAATCTAAACTATTACATTAAACTGTGTGACCTATACAATTGTCTAAGAAAATAAATAGCAAAAATAATAAAAAAATGTTGGAAAAAAAGTTTAAATGCCCTAAAAATCTAAGTTCGTATTTTTGGTGTTTTTATGAAAATAAGTTAAGTGTTAATTAATATTAATTAAAATCCTAATTATAATTGATTTTAATTAATAAAAAGCCTAAAATATAATTGTCCAAAAAATCAATTAATTAATTTACACTCTAAAACTAATTTTTTGTTGATTTTATTATATGGCCTCTTTCTGATTTTTTATGTATAAGTATTGATTAAAAAAAGTTAATTAATAATAAAATAACTAATAAATAAAGGGAAAATGAATAAAGTAAAGAAAAAAGGGTTTTAGAATCGCTGGGGTTTGAACCCCCTCCCTTCTCTTCACACGATTGGTTCTAACCTGTTCTATGTTTCTTGTTTAACACATCTGGACATATGAAACTTATTAATAACACAAGGATGTAGAAAGTTGAAATTAGAAAATCCTTACCACCGGTGTCATTAAGGGGAGGAGTTATGGGCACGGCTGAGCGTGGTTATGGACTTGAGGAGGTTCCTAGGGATGTTAGGATGATGAGTCGAGGCTTCGTTTCAGTTGAGATTCGCTGGAAAATTGGGATACAATTTGCACTTATTATTTGAAAATTTTGTGTTTGGAAACTTTTTTCTATGGCAGCCAATCCTCTGTGTCCCTGTCTTATGGAGTGTGTCCTCTATTTATAATGGATGATTTTTTAAGTTAACATTCTTGGAAGGAAACATGTGCAATCAAAGTTATTATTTGTTTCCAAAACAATTGCAAAACTTTACAAAACATGAAGATCTCTTTCCTTCTTCAGCCCTCACGGTTTTTTTATGTTGGATATGTGATATTGGGATTCAAAATAATCCAAAACAAAATCCCACATGCCTTTTACATTTATTTAATATTTATTTAATTTAATTTTATATTTAAATGAATAAAATCAAAAAAATTAAATAAAAAATTAAAACAATGCATGAATGCACTTAGGGGTCCCTAAACATGTCATAAACACGTTTGAACTTCAAAAGTTAAGCTCATTAGCCTAAAAGTCCAAAATTGCTCAATTGTGGTTTCATACATTTTCTCAAAATTTCTCAACTTGAACCAATCATAACTCTCTCAAATTTTGTCATATGAAGGTGATCTTGAAATTTTTGGAAATCTCAAGATGTCCCCTACAACTCTCATTTTTGTCACTTTTTCATTTGAAATTTTTAAGTCGATGTAAATTGCTTTGACAAAAGATGTCTTTTTGTTGACTTTAAAAATGACCTGTAATGTTTTGGCCTATATCTCTCAAATGAGCATTTTTATCCTTGAGCTTAAAGAGACAAAGTTATAGAGAATTGAATTTCCTTCAAGATAGGCTTTGGTTGAGGAATTTCTGATGAAGCATGTGAAAGTTATGCTTGGTCAAAGTTCAGTTGACTTCTCTTTAAGAAAACCCTAATTTGGTAACTTTTGTCTTTTGATGAATCTTGAGTTTTCTTGATGAATCATGATCAAACCATGATCAAATGATGAATCTGACTTCAAAAAATACTGATGTTGACCAAAAACTTGAATTTTGATTGTATGTTGACCATAATTGACTTTTTATCCAATATAGTTTATTTTCAATCATCTGAGCAATTGTCTGATCAAACTTGAGATGCAAGGCTTGAAACTTGACTTGAGGATTCTTTGAAGCATACGAGGAACCATGAAACTCACTTGATGCATTAGAAGTCCAAATTTCTTTGAGAAAACCAAAACCCTAATTGTAGACCACTATTTAAGAGGAGGGTTCATCTGATCAATTCTTGAATAGTTTTAAGTGTTTGAGGCCCTTAGGAGCATGGGGAGGTATCTTGAATAAATTTGTCTTGAAAAATGGGAGGGAAAATTTTGGGGTACAATAGGGACTACGACTCCTATTTTATGGTGGAAACAGGGAAACATTTATTTTTCTCCATAATTTCATGCTCGCTTAGTGAGCCACATCGAGCTCCTAGTGAGGCAAGACTGTAGCTATATAACTGGGGAATTCTTATTCTCACCTTGATGAGATAAACATTATGAAAGTTGAAGATTATCCTTGATTAAACAAGCTTTATTCATCCTCTTCCAGGCCTTTTTCCCATTTTAACTTCTTCTTTCTCTTTTCTCTTATTTTCTCCTCCTCTATCCCATTTCTCTTCCTTTCTAACCATAAGATGTAAAATGAATTGTAAAGTAGAGTGAAGAGAAATATTTAAAGAGATATTATGTCCTTAGTAACAATTTATCATTTAATAATAATACCAAATGTCCTTTCTTGTATCAACTATTACACATCAAGCTAATTGAGTAAGGATTTATTGCTTATAAGTCCACTAATTACTCTATTTGTCCCAACTGACAACTAATAAAGCATTCGGGAACTCAATATGTCCCAATTAACAACAATTGAAAACTAATAAACCACTTAAGGTGATATGCGGTATTACAATAACAACCAACATATCATATCAAAACGATGGCGAAAATATGTATATATTTAACTAGCATCAATATTCATTGTAAATATAAAAATCATAAGATACCAATAGAAGTCTATAGATAGAAAAAAAACAAAATGAAAAGAAGGTGCATATAATGGTATGGTATGGTATGGTGAGATGAATGAATAACTAATGAAGATCATCTGAAGAAGGAGTAAGAGCATTATCATTAAGGTTGAACATAAGAGTAGAATCCTTAAGATGATCCAAGACACCTTTTACAGCATATAACCCAACTAGAATCCTTTCTTCGCTCACTTTTACTTCCTATTTGATCTTACCTCCTCTTTCCTTTGCTTCCTTTGTTACCACATCAATATGAGTATGGATGTGAGACTCTCTGGCTTGGGAATCCGCTAAAATGTTGCTAAACCACTCATCAAAGTAGGCTTTAGCACCAATAAGCATCTACCTATCAAATGAAGAATAAGGCCCAAATGATGATGAACCAATATGATCAATAGCATGGGAACCAGAAGAAGATGTTAATTTCTTATTCTTAGCTTCAACTATTACACCCCACTTTCCCTATTATATAATTATAATAAAAACATACGAGATATATTAGAGTACACAAGTAGGATGTAACATCTTCTCAAAATCTCACAAAGTTTCAAATCACTTTATTACTTCATTTCATATAAAAATCAACTTAACAACAGAATAATTAAATTGATTCACTTCTATGGAATTAAGCCCTCAACAACAATAAAAACTCCACAAATTTCGTGGTTCAACATAAGTGAAAAGGTAAGATACGTAACGAATAAAACAATGCAAAAACATAACAAATTCTCAAATCCTGTGTTACGTATCAGAGCGACTCCTAAGAATAAATCAGGTAACACTCACTCTAAGCACTACTCAGGTACCTGATTATATGTACTCCCAGAGGAACACATACACAACAACAGAAAAGGGGTGAGAATTTCATTCAATAAACATACAGTGAATATCACATGCTAAATAGTAGTAACTCACACGATTCATACAATTCACAAGTCATTTTCTATTTTACATCGCCAACATCAACTAGATAACACATCATCAGATTAGTAAAGATGCGAGGCAATGAGACCAACACCGACTCAATTCATGTGGGACCAACATGGCATAAGCTCCCAACATATTTCCGAATAGGGAATCAACAAGGATTAAGCCCTCAACATAATGCAATTACAGACCAACAACAGGGCATAAGCCCTCACCAATGCGTACATGTAACTCCAGAATGCAACTACATAATTATGCAATCACAAGGCATAAGCCCAAAACATTACGCCAATACAGGCCAACGATGTCACTATCATCATGTAATACATTATGCAACTCATCCACACTACTTCACATAACATCATCATGTTATATCACATCATTATCATCACACGTTATACAAAGTGCACACAAAGTTCCATGTTTCAACATAATTCCCATTTTTATTATCCTTTCTATATCTGCCTAAGCCATACTAGTCACTAAGGGTCAATAGAAATTATACTGCACACGAAAACGAGAAAGAAATCACGAAAACAGAAAATTTTGCACATCCGTCTACCCATACATGTATGGCCCTACCCCATACGCGTATGGCATCTTCCTGGTCAATCTTTTACGTGTATCATACGCGTGACGCCTAAGAGCCCTAGCCTCATACACGTATCATACACATACGACCAGAGGCATTTTCCTCAGAACATCTCTAATCCTTCCATACGCGTACTAGCTAGCCCATAGGTATATGGCCCTCTTCTCATACGCGTACCATACACGTTCTGGAAGAAGGCCTTGCTTGCTTGGGGACAGGGCACATACCATACGCGTACGGTCCCTGGGAGCATCCCCCATATGCGTATGGCCAGTCGGCAACTTCCAAAAATCTTTTTTCGCACCAGTAAAATTTCTGCTCGTTTTACACACTTTTAGCCTCCTAATTTGGGTCAAAAACAATGTTTTTACACATAATAACACATAGGATTCATATAATTTCATTAATCAATTAATCTACAATAATTTTCTATATCAAAACTCACTTTCTATCTTCTCTTGATCTATATATTCATAATTGGTATTTTCATGGAGCTACACTACAACAACAACAATTACCAACAACAATCACAAAATTAACATCATTCAATTTTCACCATTACACGTATGATCACATAGAAACATCATCAAATCAAACAAAGAAAAAGAACTTATCAATTATACAAAAAACCTAAAAGAAGGAAAGGAACCCTCACTATCCTCTCATGTTATAATCACCCTTTAGAGAACCCATTCTCCCCCTTGCCTTAGTTGATGATTCTTAATTCTTCTATTGGAAGATTCTTTGCCCTAGCTTGTTTGCTCTTCTCCTTTCCTCGTTCTCTTTGTTCTCTATTTTTCTAAAATCGATTAATCTCTTTTTTCCCAACTATAAACCTTGGACCCCTAATTAGAATCCCCACAATAGCCTCCTCTAATTTAAATAATTATAAAAAGTCTAATTATTAAATCACCAAATATAGTCCAACTATTGTATTAATAATAATAAGTCGAATAGTGCAATATATATTATAATCACTTCATTCTTATATTCCTAATAGCCACTACCATTCCCTAAGGTATTATAACACCGCATAACACATCATAAAACATAATCAATTTATTAAAATGAATTGGTAAAATCAGAGCGTTACAACTCTCCCCCACTTATACTATTTTTGTCTTAAAAAATTACTTTATGCGAACAATTTTGGATAAGACTCCCGCATCTTTTTCTCTAACTCCCACATCATACTTTCTCTGACGGCTCCTACCCAAACTACTTTCACGAGAGGAATTTCCTTGCCCCTCAAATTCTTTATTTCACGTCCATCAATTATCAGCGGTAAGGTCTCAACTGTAAGGTTATCTCTCACTTATACGTCATCCATCAGAATCACATGAGATGAATCCGAACTCTACTTCCGAAGTTGCGACACATGGAACATATCGTACAAATTAGAAAGGTAAGGTGGAAAGGCCACTTTATAAGAAACATTCCCCACTTTGTCTGAAATTTGATACAGACCAATAAGCTGAGGAGTAAGCTTCTTCGACTTTAATGCTTGTCCAACACCGGTCACCGGTGTGACTTTTAAAAATACACGATCTCCCTCCTGAAATTCAAGGTCTTTCCTCCACTTGTCATGCTAACTCTTTTGCCTGCTCTTCTAAGTTCTCATCTTTTCCTGAAATAACTTCACTTTTTCTGTAGTTGGTTAGAAAAGTTTCGATCCAAGCACTACACTTTCACCCAATTCATACCAACACAATAGAGTCCTACACCTCCAACCATACAACGCCTCAAATGCTTCTATTCCAATGCTAGAATGGTAACTATTGTTATATGTGAACTCTATCAATGGAATATAATTATATTACGTTCCTTCATGTTAAAGCACACAAGCTCTAAACAAATCTTCCAATGACTGAATAGTCCTCTCTGTTTGTCCATCCATCTGTGGATGATATGAAAAACTCAATTTTAACTTAGAGCCCAACGCAGCCTACAGACTCTCCCAAAATCTAGAAGTGAACCTTGGATCTCTATCAGACACGATGCTAGATGGAACACCATGAAGCTTCACAATTACACAGATATAAATCTTCGCCAACTGTGGTAACAGGAAACTAATATCGGTTGAAATAAAATGAGCCGACTTTGTTAGCCTATCAACAATCACTAAAATCATATCATACCCCCTTGGAGTACTTGGAAACCCCGTCACAAAGCCAATCGATATACTATCCCACTTCCACTCCATAACATATAACGATTCCAACAACTCTGTAGGTCTCTAATGTTCGACTTTCAATTTCTGGCAAGTCAAACATGCATATACAAACTGTGCCATGTCTCATTTCAACCCAAACCACCAAAATAACTTCTTCAATTCTTGATTCATCTTAGTCGCACTTGGATGAACACTTAAATTACTTCTATGGCTTTCTTCCAGAATCATCTTTTTCATCTTGGAGTCATCAGGAATACAAATTGTACCCCAAAATCTCAACACACCTTGCGCGTCTACTTTGAAGTCACTATCTTCAGATTGATTATCTCCAACCATTAAATCCATTAGTTTGACATCCAATTTCTAAGGTTCTTTAATTTTATCCAAGAAATCACTATTAATCTTCAACATTCCTAACATCACACTTTGTAGAGTCAATTCACAAACCAAACTCATGTTTCTGAATTGCTCAATCAATTCTAATTCTTTAACCATCATAGCAGACACATGTAACAATTTCTGACTTAAGGCATCTGCCATAACATTAGCTTTACCCGGATGATAATTTAAGCCAAAATCCTAGTCCTTCAACACTGCTACCATCTTCGTTGTCTCATATTTAACTCATTCTGGTCGAATAAATACTTCAAGCTCTTATGATCACTAAATACTTCAAATATGGAGCCGTAAAGATAATGCTTCAAAATCTTCAGTACAAACACGACTACAACTAAATCTAGATCATGAGTAGGATAATTCCTTTTATGAATCCTCATATTTATCGATGCATAAGCTACCACTTTATCATTCTACATAAGCACACCGTCTAAACCCAATTTAGAAGCATTACAGTATACAACAAATGGTTCTTCAGGATTAGGTAATATCAAAATCAGAGTCTTCATCAAGTTCTTCTTTACCTCAACAAAACTTTCCTCACAGTGAATATCCCACACAAATTATTTTCCTTTACAAGTTAGTTGAGTCAACAAAAGTGCTAACTTAGAAAATCCTTCAATGAACCTTCTATAATAACCAAACAAGCCTAAAAAGCTTCTAATTTCTGTAACCAACTTTGGAGTCTCCCATTGCAATACTGCATCAACCTTAGATGGATATATAGCAATATCATTGCCAGAAATAACATTACCAAGAAAACTAACTTTCTCTAACCAGAATTCAAACTTTGACAGTTTCACATATAACTTCTTCTCTTTTAACACTTGCAATATAATTTTCTCAAGTGCCTAACATGTTCTTCCTCAGATTTGGAATATATCAAGATATCGTCAATGAATACAACTACGAACCGATCCAAGTAAGTGAGAAAGATATGATTCATATACTCCATAAACACTCCTGGCACATTGGTAACCCAAAATGGCATCACCAAATACTCATAATGTCCATATTGAGTTCTGAAATTTGTCTTCTGAATATCTCCATCTTTGACTCGAATCTGGTGATAGTCTGATCTCAAGTCAATCTTGATAAATACACGTGCACCCACCAGTTGATCCATCAAGTTATCTATTCTCAAAATTGGATACTTGTTTTTAATTGTTATTTCATTCAAGTGTCGGTAATCAACACAAAGTTTCATACTACCATCCTTCTTTTTCACTAGCAACACTGGAGCTCCTCAAAGAG